GGTTTTTTTTTCCTCCCTTCTGCTACGATCTCTTATTTTACCAAATAGTTGTTTGATTTGTGGGTGGGGTTTTTTTTTCCTTTTTCTTTGTTTGTTTTGGGGGGTTTCTTTTGTTTTATTTAAGAGAAAATTGATGCCATTGTGCAGCTTGATGTTTGACATATAGCTGGTTTTTTCTTTTCTTTCCACAGGTGATGTCTGTTCATCCTGACTATTCTGTTTCCACCCAGATTTTAGACAGATTGATGGAGATAACACTAAAAAACGGTGAGTGCTTGAAGAATAGAAAACTGACCACCTGAATGAAGGCATTTCCCTTCTGTTAAGTATAGAACGGTACTGGAGAGGAAGTAAAAGTCTGTCTCTGTTCTGTGATTCTGGCATGAATTTAGGCTTTTCTGTATGTTATGCACAAATGCTGGAAGTTGGTTTCCACTGAGTGTGTGCAAGCTGTACCACAGCATGTGGCCCTGGCATGTATTTGCAAAGCAGTGCATCTGGTACATAACTCACTTCTGTTATTTCACAAATAGAGGTGACTTGAAAAGGAGCCTAGTCTACTCAGAAGTTTACTTCCCTTTCCATCTTTTACTTTGGAAAATCCAGACCTTAATTTCGTAGCTTAAGGACTACAGAGTGTTTCTTACATTGTCAAACCCAGTATATATTTAACAGTTCAGTGTCCAGTTGGAGACCAGTAACGAGTGGTGTCCCTCAGGGATTGGTGTTGGGACCTGTGTTGTTCAACATCGTTGTCGGTGACATGGACAATGGAATTGAGTGCACCCTCAGCAAGTTTGCTGATGACACCAAGCTGTGTGGCTCGGTTGATACGCTGGAGGGAAGGGATGCCATCCAGAGGGACCTTGACACACTTGTGAGGTGGGCTGATGCCAACCTCATGAAGTTCAACCAAGACAAGTGCAAGGTCCTACACCTGGGTTGGCACAACCCCAGGCACAGGCTGGGCGGAGAAGAGATTCAAAGCAGCCCTGTGGAGGACTTGGGGGTGGTGGTTGATGAGAAGCTTGACACGAGCAGGCAGTGTGCGCTTGCAGCCCAGACAGCCAACTGTATCCTGGACTGCATCAAAAGAAGTGTGACCAGCAGGTCGAAGGGGGTGATCCTCTACTCTGCTCTCATGAGGTCTCACTTGGAGTATTGTATACAGTTCTGGTGTCCTCAACGTAAAAAGGACATGGAGCTGTTGGAGCAAGTCCAGAGGAGGGCCACGAGGATGATAAGAGGACTGGAGCACCTCCTGTATGAAGACAGGCTGAGAAAGTTGGGGCTGTTCAGCCTGGAGAAGAGAAGACTGTGTGGAGACCTCGTAGCAGCCTTCCAGTATCTGAAGGGGGCCTATAAGGATGTTGGGGAGGGACTCTTCATTAGGAACTGTAGTGGTAGGACAAGGGGTAATGGGTTTAAACTTAAACAGGAGAAGTTTAGATTAGATATAAGGAAGAACTTTCCAGTGAGGGTGGTGAGGCACTGGAATGGGTTGCCCAAGGAAGTTGTGAATGCTCCATCCCTGGCGGTGCTCAAGGCCAGGTTGGACAGAGCCTTGGGCAACATAGTTTAGTGTGTGGTGTCCCTGCTCATGGCAGGGGGGGTGGAACTAGATGATCTTAAGGTCCTTTCCAGCCCTAACTATTCTATGATATACCACTGCATAGTTTACTGCCCAGATAAATGGCAAAAGTGAAAAGAATCCTAAGCCTACACAAAAAACACTTTCAAGGATCTGCTTCAGCCCACACTGCTGCTCATGTCTCGTGCGCTTTGCCTTCCTTTATCTGTACTCTTAAATACTTCTCAGTACAAGTTCTTTCTATGTTCTTTATGTCTTTACTTTATTCAGATCCATCAAAAGTCACCAGTTCATTTAAGCCTGCCAGTTAACATTGGTAATGTAATGGGTTTTCTTGAAGTACTTGCTCAGGTCTGTCCAAATTGTACCCCATATTTTGAATTTTGCTTGAAACCAGCCAGTGAGCTGGTAGGGGAGGGAATGTAACCTCCTTTATTATGTGCTTTACTGGCATTAAGCTTTGTTCGTATTGAACAGTTCAAACTGATGAATGCGCATTCAAACAATTAGGGCTGGGATAGCTCCCAATGGATCTCTGACTTTGGAGCAGGATCGTATAGGCTATGGTTGCTCCTGGAAATTTGTCTAACCACTTTACAATTGCCAACTGTGTACTCTTTTAACCTTTCTGAGACATTCTGCTCCAGTGCTTAACTAAGAAAGCATCTTTGTTCTTGTTTTTACTGAATTAAACATTGAGTTGTGAACATGCAGTGTCTTGAGTGTTATGTTCTATTTGTTGTTTTCTTACAAACTTATCTCTAGGATGCAATATTGATCCAATTCAGAATTCTGTAATTGTTTGGAAGACACTGCATCTAGCTTGCTGTCACTTGCTAGTTTAGTGTCCTATAGAGAATCCTCTGTACAGTTTGCAGACTTTCAGATACAAGTCACACAGATCAGCCCTTTTTTCCGATGAGCATTTTTTCTATTAAGTAAATGAATTCCACCCATTTAGCACTTCTGTTCTAGAAACCTTACCTGGTTTCAAACCTTAATTAGCTCCAGTTTCCAGTCCCGCTATAATAACACTCTCTTACCTGTACCTACACAGGATGGTAATTCATATATTTCCTTGAAACTAAATATTGCCACCTTGCTTATTCTGCTGTTTGTGATGAGAGAGCTGTGGTGGAAAATGCATGGAACTTTAAAGTAATTCACCTGTTATGTAGGCAAGATGTTTCTCTAGCATAAAATTCTGTTATACTTCCCCCC